GGGGGGGGGGGGGGGGGGGCCTGCACGGCATTGGGGATGCAGGCCTAAAGGCTGCGTTCTCTGTGCAAAGGCCTGGCACTGCCTCCTAGCAGCTGCACACACACTAATCCTCTTCTGCCCCGGAATGTGGCGCCTGCTTATTGGCAGTCCACTCTGTTGACCAATTAGCCCGAGCCACAATCAATTAACCATTATGCAAATGGCCTGTCCAGCCTGGGAGAATGGCAGCAGAGCAGCCATAGGAGGCAAGCGGCTTTTCACAAGGAATCAAAAGCGCAGACAGCAAAGGAAACCGGAGGCAGCCGAGCCACACTGCCTGCAGGGCCACTGCACAGAGACAAGACAGTGTCACAATGCTCCTGAGCAACAGAGCATGTGATGGAGACCACAGGCCTCAGGTAGGGACAGTATGAACATAGTCTAAAGGGAGACTTGCCAGCCTTGGCAGACACCACCCACCATCAGTGGGAAAAAGACAAGGCTGCGACCCCAGAGCGAGTGCCACCACCAGAGTGACAACAGTGCAAGCCAGTGGTAGCATTCATGTCTTTAAGAGACGCACCCTGGACCTGTGATGACTGGGAGGCCTGCCTTCCACGGCCCATGCATGGGGCTTCACCAGGTCAAGGCCTCTGCACTGTGTGGAAGGCCATGGTCCCCAGAGCGAGGAACTGGGGGGGGGGGGGGCTGTGAGCTGTCTCTTGTGGCCCTGGCCCTGCTCAGGGACTGTGAAATGTTCCTTGGGCAAATGAGAGTGAACCATGTAGACAGATGGTGAGCAGCAGGCATCCCACAGCCTGGATATGGTGCCCAGGAGGTGAGGGGGTTTTGACAGGTCTCAGGCCTCTCTGCTTGGAACAGTATGTTTCGTTACAGGCCTGCCACCCACGTCCCCGACCTCAGTGCCAGCAGGCACCATGAACATGCTGTGGTGGTAGATGGAGCTAGAGGGGCCCACACAGTGGAGGATCCCTAGGTTTGCTATAAGATGAATGGGGGTGGGTACCTAAGAACATGCTAAGGATGGGGCCCAAATCGGAGGCCACATGCCTCCAGAAAGTGAACCACAACAGTGGAAAGCACAAGTGCTCAGCCACATTCTGCCCCAAGTGGCTGCATGAGAGACAGGGTGCAGCCCAGCTGGCTGACAAAATGAGCAGGGCCTGTCACTGACAAGACCCCAGGGCAATGTCCAGGCGCCATACACACAACTTCTCCCAAGCCCCCATGAGATATGGCAACATGAAGAAGCTGAATGCCAGGGGAACTGGCCACTGCGAGTTCCCATGCTGGCCTGTGCTGAGCTTCCCAGACGCAGAGCTCACTTTTATTTTTGTGTTTATCTTCTTGTTTTTCTCTTCTTCTGCCCAAGTTTGCTCCACAAGCTAGTTTTTCCCATAACCATTTACCCCTCACTTTCCAAATAAACTTTTGGCACCATTTTTTGGCTTGTTTCATCCAATTATTTGTTTGAGGCAAAAACGACCTTGAACACTGCTGACTGATAAGCCATTTCTAAAGAAATTACCCAATTACAGGTCTACTTTGGCTCAGGGCAGAGACACAGACAGAGAGGAAATGGAAGGAGGAGAAGGAAGAGAAGGAGAGAGAGGACAGGTGATCTAGCTGGTCCCCACCACACGCCTAGAGAAGGGGGTCTGTGCAGCATGCGGGGTGGCACCTGTCGTCCCTGGCCACCCACCTGCAGCCACCCACCTGCGCAGGAGCTTGGCCTTGAGCGAGGCACGCGAGGCGCTCCAGGAGTTGAGCTCGGGGCTGCTGAGGGCCGTGGGTCGCGTGTGGTCCAGCACTGGCAGGTCCTTGCCCTGTTTCCACAGCTCATAGCGCTCGGGCTGCAGGATGCGCACAAACACATCCATGGAGATCTTCACCATGTCCTTACGGCATGTGCACTGTGGGGACACATACACACCTGAGACACAGCCCGGGGCCACTCCACTTAGCACGCTCTGGGGAACAAGGACAGGGCCGCTGGCTCCGGAGCTCCAGCTCTGCCACCAACACCTCCCCTTGGCTCAGATGTAGCCTGTCCTTCAGAGGACAGACCCCTGCAGCCCCAGGGGACAGACCCGACATGGAGAGGGCCATAACAGCAAACAGGCTGAGATGACAGGGGACAAGAGCCGGCAGTCCCATGTGCAAAGAGAGGAAATGAGCAGATGCACAATGTAGTCCCTGAAAGGGACAAGCCTCTCCCCTCATGGGGCCTGGCCAGGGCCATACTGGCCTCATACCATGTGGCGAGACCTGAGGGAGGGAGTGGAGGCCCGGGGGCCAGGAGGTGTCAGGCCCCACCCTCGGGGGGCAGGGCATAGCCAGTTTCCTGGTGGGCTTGGCAAGTACCATCTTGGGCAGGAGCTCCCCAAACACCTGGCAAACACAGATAACAAGGACACAGAGGCAGATGGCGTTTGCACTTCCGACCTCCCCCAGCTCTCTGCCCTCAGGGGCTCGGCCTCCACACTGGGTACTGCAGACAACCCGGGGCCACTCAGCACTTCAGGGACTTGGGGGGCAGGGAAGCTGGGCGGACTGCTGAGGGCAAGAGCAGAGGCCACACTGCCCACTGCTCTGCACAGCTGGGGCCCTGCAACACTGAGGCAAGAGGGCAGGGCTAGGGCCCACAGTCAAGGGCAGGGAGGGACTGGCAAGCTATATCCACAACCGGCCAAAGCATAGATGTTCTCAACTTCACGGGGACCCAGCCCCTGCCCGACCTCTCAGTCTGTCTCTGGGGTTCAAAAGAAGCACAGACTATGTGGACTGTGGAGGTAAGGGAAGTGTAGGGCACATGCGGCTGGCCACATGGAGGCAGTGGCTGGCAGCAGCACTACCCCCATCCTGGTCTCATGGGGGACATGTATGGCACTTGATGGCAGCCTCACCCCTCTGCCCCACAACCCTCTTCCTCCTTGCGAAGTATACCGCTAACACCCTTCAGCTTCAGGGAACATCTCACTGGCCCTGCAGTATCCTCCACCGAGAGGAAGGAAGGAGAAAGGACCTGAATGTGACTGTCCAGCCCCCAGTCCTCACAAGGCCTCTCACCTGCCCTACTCCTGCTCTGGGTGGGATTTTTCCTGCAACCTGGGCCTGTACCCTTCCATGCATGGGGACCACATCGAGGGGAGGGGATGTTTACAGTACAGTTCCAGCACACTTGCTCCACAGAATGACAGCAGCAGCAAGGCCAGCAATACAATTTGGCTACAGAGGCAGGAGTGTAGAGCGTAGATGGGGCCCGTAGTTCAGGCTCCTGGCTGGGCTGTGGCCTCCCCTGCCACGGGAGCTGAAAGGATTTGTATTGAGCGGCTCTGCAATTGCTTTTCCTTGCGTAATTAAAAAGAGCACCTGTGTGTGGCTGGGCGTGGGGACATGCTCTGTAGCATGCACTATGGGGCTGTGTTGGCCGAGCTGGTCCTGTCTTCCCTCATTCCTGCCACCCAAAAGCCACCAGCCAAGATGAGGCTGCTGGTACAAGACCACTGTACGGGCAAGTACTAGGGTCACCTTGCAGTGCTGGTGGCCCCCAAGACAGCCACAGAAATGTCTCCAGTGGGCTCATCAGAGACACAGGAGCAGGTCCAGGAGAAAGCCCCAGCCTCGTGGTGTGGGACACAAGAGTCACTCCCTAGGCTGGGGCCTGCAGACCTGCCTGTGGGAGAGGGAGAGGACACTCCTGCTGCCAACTGCACAGCTGCCACCACAACTCTGGCTGAGCTGGGAGGCACAGGGACCACCTGAGACGTCAGGCTGGCAGGAGCCTCGATACAGAAATCTCAGGATGCCTGTTGAGCTGGCACCCACGGGGAAAGGGAGCAGCAGGCAAACGGGGCTATTGGTTTTCACACACACCCCGCACACGCCCATCATGCCCCCCCACGCACCCCCCTGTCTCTGATCCCAACATGTGTGTTTCCATTACTGAGGCCAACGGTCCTGTCTGGTCCCCAGCACAGCCTCCCCCATTGGCGCTGAGACAGAGGTGGGAACAGCTCTTGGGACACAGCTGAGTGAGTAGCTTCTGATGGACAAATCTGGCACAACAGGGAAAGGAGGCTAAGTACCTTGCCCGCAGGCCTGAGTGCACCCCAGGCCGAGGGCTGCCACACAGCACCCAGTGCTCAGCCTGTGTGCAGGGCAGGGTGCCCTCCCAGAGCCCCAAGGACAGGGCAGGCCAGCCGGGTGACACCATCCACTCAAGGCAGGACAGCAAGTGGCTCTAGGAGTGCATGGACCCCTTTGGGGACAGACAGAGGAGAAAGGGGAACATGGGACTTAGGTCAGTTTGCTACCCAGCAGCCTCTGGGTGCACCCTCCGAGGACACCTGCTCCACCCCTCAGCTTGACTGGCTGTTACTCCTTCCCAGGGACACTGCCACCCCTCCTCATACCTCCACCACTGTGGCAGCCCCCCAACAAAGTGCTCCTCCAAGAGCCCCTGACATGGCCGCTCACCATAGCTGTGGTGCCAAGTCAATTAGCCAGCAGATGTGCTTGATGGCGCTCCCAGAACACACGCAGGCAAAGCCTGTGCCAGTCTCTGGTAGAGGTAGGGGAAGGGCAAAAGCAGCCGCACGAGGAGCGGGCTCTGTGTCTGCCCCTCGACATCCCCAGCGAGGCCCCAGGCTTCTGAAGGGAGCAGACAGCAGTGTCTGGCTCCGAGGAGCCCCTGACAAAAGGTAGAACACGGTTCTCCAACACTGCAGGTCCCTTGTCACCCACCTGTGCTTTTTTGGACCTTGCCAAACAAAGAAGAAACACAAAGATGCTCTCTGCCTTGCTGCTAAGAGAAACACACATGTTTACTCACATTATACACACACCCCCAAATCCTAGACCCCCATCTGACATCAGGGTCCAGCTGAGGAAGCAGTTTTGGCAGGACGCTTCAGGACAGCGATGGGCTCATTACATGCCTGGCATGCTGACGACACAACTGCATGGCTGCACAGCAAGAAGCACAGCCACAACCCAAGCTCTAACCAAGCGCCAAGAGAATTCATCCAGACACCTGTGAGGCTTTTCAACCCCAGGATTAAGCAAGTTTTACGCTATTTACTCCCCCAACTGCATCACTAAACAAGTCAGGCTGCAAGCCAAGTTCAACCTGCCTTTTGCTTTTTTTTTTTTTTTTTTTTTTTTTTTTTTTATTTTAGGGAAGGGTCTACAGGGTGTTCAGGTCTCACTACTAGATTGGACTTGTAGTGATCCGCCTGTTTACAGCCTCTAAAGAGTTGGATTACAGATGCGAGCCACCACGCCCAGTCTCAATTGCTCTCGGTGCGCCCCGGGGGCGAAGCCTGCATGACACACAGGGGATTGAACCACCAGTCCCTGCACCTGCTTGTAGGCACTGTAATCTGCTGAGCTATTTGGCCAGCCCTCTGCTCTTTGCTCTCTAAATAAAGTTTTATTATCAACAGCCCTGACATCTGACCACCCTGGGCCTGTGCTAGATCTGCTCAGCAGCAGACTCCGAAGTCACGACAGAGACTGTGACCTGTGAAGGGTGACAGCAAGTGTGCCAAGCCCAGCAACCTCTGCAGTGCGAGCTGTGGCCTCAGGACCTGGGTGGCGGCTGTCCACGCCACTGCAGCGCACGAAGCACTCAGCAGTGTTCCTGCTGAGTGGACTCCCCAGCCCCACCCCCATGCAACCACGTGCTCACCCCAGATCACTGCGCTTTGTAACATGGCCCGAGGTGATGCCTCACTGTGAGGACACAACTCCAACACTAATGGGGTGGCTGGGAGCTTCAGCCATGTGTGCTGTGCACACAGGGCCCTAGGAAGGTGCCCACATTGTGCTGCTTCACAGAGCAACCTGGTCCCCAAGACACAGCCTGGGAGGAAGGGGCCCACACATCTGCGCCAGGTGCAAGAGGCGGGTCCTGCCAATGTCAATCCCCCTGGGTGCACCTACAGGGACCTGGGGACCTGGGCTTGGGAGGGATGTGTCCTAAAGTTCACACAGTGACTGTCTCACCCAGAGCTGTAGCTTCCCAAGGTCCTGAATGTTCCCATAAAGAGGCACCAGTCCGAGATTCCACTCTGCTCTGCAGCCACAGAACCCCAAAGGTGCCCAACTTGCAGCTCCCGGAGCCCTGTCCCTGGCGTGTGCTCTGCACTTATAAGTCTGCATTGATGTAGCTGAGTAGCTCCTTAGTCTGTCGGGGTCAGGAGGCTTTGATCAGAGGAGCACCTGTGGAGGGGCAGGCCGGCTGCCTCCTTGCCCACCATGGGGTTGCGCCAGAGGAGTGCAGCAGAGCCTGCGGCATGCTCAGCCCCATGGCTGTGCAGGTTTGCGGGGCGCAACACCAGGCACCTGGGCTGGGGTGCCTCTCATTCCCCACACAGAGCTTTGGGCATTGGGTTCTGAGTCCTCCGTGTGGATGCTGTCACAGCGCCTTAAGAAAGTCCCAGGGTTGATGGGGCTGGTGAGATGGCTCAGTGGTCTAAAGCACCTACTTAGAACAAGCTAAGCTAAGCAAAGCACAGGGACCGCCGGTCGATCCCCCAGCGCCACATGCCAGCCAGCCCCGCCCCCTGGTGGGCTGAGCTGGCCACACACACTAAATAAACAAAGAAAAAAAGAAAAAAGAAAAAGAAAGCCCCAGGGTTGAGAAGTCGCCTAGCTAGAGGCTCACCCATGTACGGCTGTCACTTATGGATGGCAAGCAGAGATTTATGACCTTATCTCCACACCTCTGTTATCGGCTCACCCATCACCCAGAGCCTGGCCATCACACCAAAGAGCTGTGAGCAGCATGGCTGTCACCCTCCTCACAAGATTGACACATCAAACAGCCTGGTATCCGTGACACAGTCTCTCAGGACAGCAGCTAAGTTCCAGAGAAAATGAGAAAATGGGACGAGCTGATGGCTCTGGA